ATATATATATATACATACATATATATATATATATATATATATATATATACATACATATATATATAAAATTAATTAATTTCATAAAAATTAACTATAGTAATACTTGAGATATAATCAACAGTTCCGGTTGGCTAACTCATAGCCACAGCCCACACCAAAAAAATATTTAGGATGATTTACATACAAACCACTTCAATTCCCATGTATTTACATACCTAACATTTTAAACTTCCATTTTTACAAAAAAAAAAAATCATCTTAATTCCTATCTATTCATGAAAAGGTTATATATTTCACTTGTTAAAACTTCAAATAGTGCTGTTTTCTATGTGATATGAAAGCTTCGGGTGGAGATTTGCATGTGGTGTCCGTATGGAATAATTTCTCGAAAGAGGGTGGTTAATTTGTAAATAGTAAGCTTCGGGTGGTCTGTATGTTATTGCCCCGTTTTTCTAAATAACACATTCAATAATTTCTGCAGGAATGTGGAAGTGTCAAGCATGGCCTATAAGTTCGTCTACTATTAATTCTTATATGAGATTTATAGTTGGAAAATACACTCACCAAATTAATGAATTGGACAAATCAGCAATAATATATGAGATTTATAGTTGGAAAATACACTCACCAAACATGCCATTAATGAATTGGACAAATCAGCAATAATATAAAGGCAGATTTGCATGCATGCCATTTACTTCTTCCTCATTTACATATCGAACACCCAAACTTCAGCTTTTACAAATATATGACACCTCGCCTAATGCATGAAAAGATGTATTTCACTTTTTAAAGGTAAAAAACAGCAACAATTTTTATGTGATGAGAAAGATTTGGGTGGTGTAATGGTGAAAAGTGAAGGTTTGGTGTTAGATATGTAAATATATAGGAATTGGGAGGTATGTATGCAAATGCCCCAAAAGTAAATTTAAAACCAAAATACCATTGAAAGACAAACAAAAAATGAGAACTTTAAGAAATCTAGGCTGAACCAACAGCCTTTTAGGGATTTCATTTATCCTGAATTGAGCATCAAAAGATATAAATTCACTTCAAAGACTACAATCCTAACTCTAAAATAGTTCAAAATAACTATCTCATAAAACACAGAATGATATAAAATTTCAAAGGCTAACAAAAGAAACAAAATACAAAGGCCAGCAGTTAAGATTTACTCACAAGTGATTTCGAAAGTGAAGCGCCGCCGCCCCCTTAATCATGCTTTAACCAGAATCAGTAACAGCCTTCATTGATTAATCAAATAGCTTGAGTTCTCAGAAAGCTTCGGATGAAACAGAAAACATTCTAATAACAGTTCTAAATATGGGCAGAAGAGCTACCAAAGCTATCTGAACCTGATCAGAAGTATTCAAGCGAATGCTGACTTGACCGCTTCCCTTGTTGCTCAAATTTCCCTGAAAAATGACTTTGGTTCCCCTTCCCAAAGAGTGCTGAGTTTGCATATTGCAGCCGGCGGCCAGATCACCGTGCCAGTCCACAACGGAAAGAGCGATAGTCGATAGAGCTTGTCCTATTGGATAGTCTTTTTCTCGTAAGGTCGCCTCAAGACGACCTCCGTAAGCAATATCGCCACGACCGGTCATCGCCCCGCCGCTTACGAGCAAGCTGAGCCGTTTGTTTAGCATCAACTTGTCTTCAATCTTTGCTCCGGCAGAAACTGAATCACCCAAGATGGTAGCGGAAAAGCCCGCAATGGTGTTATTGCGTCTAAAATTTGTTAACCTGGTCTCGCCTCTTAAAGTATAAGCCATGTCTCTCCCAACGGTCTGCAAATCCAAGCCTACGGAGCTGCCAGCCGCTTCGCTGTGCTTTAGAGAACTGGCAACTTCCATTTGAAGATGGCAGTCTTTTTTATCCTTTGTTATCTGCCCAGAAATAGAGAGAGGAATCTTATCTTTAACCACAAACAATCTTTCAACATTCAGACCTTCATAACCAACATCATGATCCCAACCTTGGGTTTCAAGAACAGGCCTGACAAGCCATTTGTTGGAGGAATCGAGGAAGCGGTATCGGTGAGTCGGATAATCGGAATCGAAAGAATTTGGTAGAACCAAGTCAGGCATGGGCACGGGAACGGATGCGGGGCTGCCACTTTCCTCTTCTACATTCTCACCGCTGTGCTCAACGGTCACTTCAGGGACTGATTCAGCCATTTTCTTCAACAGCTTCCGACGCTTCTTTTCTTCCTTTATTTGCTTCTTGATGAACAGATTTTCCCTGTAATCAAGCTCCTCGTAGTATGCTTTCCTCTGTTCTTTGCTCAACTTTGCTAGCTGTGACCGTGTTAGAGATTTGAATGGCGGTAGCTCGTCATAATCAGACCCATCATCTCCATCAGATGTCTCCTCCTCTAGACCCTCAAACATGTTAACCTCATCATCCATCTGCTCATCTGGAAGCTTGAGATGGGGCCTTGTCTGAAGAAGAGAAGACAAGAGGAAAGGTAAAGGTGGGACTTTTGAACGAGATCCAAACGACATGCCTGGCGGGCTATCTTCTAGCTTAAGAAGCATGTTTGCTTCTTGTAAGATCTTCGAAGCAAAAGATAACAGCAATAACTGTGGTTTCCAAACTTGCCCGTTCGGTAACACCCTCTGCCCAGCTCTGTTCATTCTGCAAGCGGTATGGTTCTCCACCAATGACACAGGGTTCATGAGCCGCACATCTCCAGCAGCTTGGGAACAACATGAGAGCGTTGAGTTACAAACATCTCATAGCTCAGAGGGCTGCCATTTGGGCCATCAGGTGGAGCAGAGGCAGCATGGGTGAGAACCACAATGGCATTAAACCAAATGGATGCGCCAAATACATCCGTGATGGTTCGCAGAAGAGGCACATCACCATAATCCCTGCTCTGCATGTCCAGACGATCAAAGTACAGGACAATATCTGGAGGAGTTTTACTGATGAATCTCTTGATTGAGTTTAGCATTCTCTCATTGCGGCGTTGATCTGAGGGAGAAGAAGATAGTCCAGGGGTATCAATTACCCTGACTTGTATGCCCTGAACAGTGCCCACCACCTCCTGAAATTTCCTAGTACCCAAGTGGAAAGCATTGGTGCAGACTTTGGTTGAGTCAAAGATTGAATTGATTGTAGCACTCTTGCCAACGCCTGATTTTCCTATAACCATAATAGTACAGGTGAAGTTAAGGGGTTCCTTTCCAGCAGCTTCAAGTTGTTCTGCCATGACACTAGCTCGGTCAAAGCTGAAAACACCTTGCCTATTTGTGTTCCTCCTTAGCTGCTCAGCAAGACCAAGCCTGTACAGAACCTGTGCAACTACTACATTATGTGGAGTCTGGCCTAACCTATGAGCAAGGCGCAGGAACTTAACTCTAATCATCTGAAGTTTTTCCCTGATCTCATCACTTTCCTCGGTATCATTAGTAACAGAGTTCTCAGAGTTGGGGGGCGGATTATGGGGAACAGATCCATTTACCTTAGATGGCTGAAGTGAACGAGTAGGTTCCAGTAATGGAGCAGAAGATCCTAGACCAGCAGGACGAGATGGCAAAGAAGGGGTTAAAGAAGGCTCCGAGTGTGGCGGTGAAACTTGTCGAGTAGAAGCATTGTTTTCGTCATCATCAATGGAGCTAAACTCACCCGCATCTTCAACAAAAACAGATTCTTTTGGCTTATCCTCCTTGAAAATAGACTTACTTTGAGATGTAGATCTGCCACTTTGTGTCAAAGACTCATCATTTTCACTTGTAACATCAGAATATGAAGATCCTTCTTCCACCAACACCGAATCTGGCTCTACTTTTATCCCATCACCTTTACTGATATCATCAATATCTTCGCTCTGTATTTCCTCAATTTCATGTTTATTTGAAACAACCTCCTCACACTTACAACTATCTACACTTTGTTTAAGAAGATGAGTCTCATCTCCAATCACACCATTCTGAGGCTTCTCACAACCTAAATTTTGATTACCAGACTCGGAAACTATTTCCCCATCACCATCCCGAACAGGGTAAGTTTTCACAATTGCGCCATCTGATTCATCACCATTCAAATTGATCAATTCCATTCCCTCTCCATCACGAGAAAAATTGTCAGATTCAACTGCTGCTTCTTTTCCAGAGGATTCAGCCAAATTCTGACAAGACAAAAGATAATCCTCAGAAGGAACATCCCCACTGAAGTCTTCAGTACCACAATTGCTATCATCTGCAACAAATGCAGGGATTGCTACATGAGAATCTTCTTGCTCCTTTACAGGAAAAACCACCTCCTTATTACCCGCAGTTGTCTCGAGCGGTCCAAAACTAATATCATTGACCCGACACCTGCCTTCAGAAGAAACAAGCTTGTCTTCCTTAGGGCTCCGATCAATATCATCAACATCAGTCAACCCCTGCCCCAAGCTAGAGCCGCCATTATTTCCCTCCAAAACCTTTCCACTCTCAATAAATTGCTGTGAATTCAAGCTCTCCACATCTCCAATAGCGTCCTCAAAAACGTCACCCTCAGAAGAATACCTAGTCAGACCATTACTGACCCGACAATCAGAAAAACTCTCAGGCGCCGTCTCCATCTCACCCCCCTGTTTCGCCTCCACCGTTCTATCGCCAACAGCCCCAACCCCGCTCTCCATCTCAACCCTAAATAGAAACAACCTATAATCAAAACAACAAGACCGAGTGGTAAAAGAAAATCAAGCACTCATGAATGAATGAACTCGCATTAAACAGAAAAAAAAAAATGGATGATTACGGTCATAGAGCAACCATTTTCTAGGGTTTTGAATACCGATGATTCAGAGCAACATTCAAACTCACCTCGCAAGAAAGCTGAAGAAAACCCTAAAAACAGACTACTGTTTCTCTTATGCTTGCCTTCTTTCCGAATAGCTGCAATCAAGCTGTAGATCTAAGCCAGCTGCTGCTTCGGCTCTCTATCGCTCGCGGTAGAAGAAGAAGCAGAAGAAAAGCGGAAAAAGATCGGGAGGACTTTTACCAGCGATCGACGGAGGAGAAGGTAGGTGGCTGCGAATGGACGGGCGATGACAGTCGTCAGTCAAAGTGAAAATAAAATTAAAAGGGGCATTTCCATGAAGAACACCCAATTTCTATCTATTTATACATCCAACCCCTAGATTTTATTTCTTATATTTATATCAAACATATTGTCAGTTGTATAACTAAGGTGATATATATATATAAATTGAATTTTGGGGGTTTCATGCATAATCTTCCAAATAAAAATAGTATGGGCATTTACATATATACCTCCTAATTCTTATAAATTTAAATATTTAACAACTAATTTCTCATATTCACATGCATAGCAATCAATTTCCTAAGGTCTTATCAAAAATATTGTTACGAAGCAGCCCATGTATAAGTTCACAACATTAAAGTATTATAAATGTAAATGTTAAGCTTGACTATATACAAACCAAATTGTACGGCCAGAAAGCGACTATTTGAGTCATTTCATATTGGACGTTTCAAATCATCGAGAAATAGGGGGCTCGGAATACAAGCATGGATAGAAGTGTCTGAGATCGAGGGATTAAGGTCGAACACTGAAGACTAGGTGAGAGAGGCTGAGTGTCCAGAGTCAATCTACTAAGGTTGAGTGCCCATGGCCTAGTGATCGGAATCAGGTGATTGACGGTCGAACGACCAAAAGGAGGATATCTATTGATGTGCAAAACAAGCAAACACGTGGTTGAATGCTAGGAGATAGATGTTTGAGCCTGGATGACTCATCTTTGCATCTCAACAACCTAATTAGGAGTCAACTTTTTTCAATATCACAAGTCATGAAAACAAGGTAACAACAATCTGAGGACTCACATCTCAGGATTTAGGGCCAGATAGGCTGAAGTACGTCTTTTCGCCAAAGTCACAACTACTATAAATAGAGGAAATTAAATATAACATAGAACTATTAATCCTGGATTGACCGTAACTCCAACATTCTTTTAATTATTATTGGTAAGGAGGTATATATATAAAAAATTAAAATTTCAGTGTTAGATATGTAAATAGATAAGAATTGAGTGACAATTATGTAAAAATCTTCCAAAAAATATGATTTGTGTTTGATAATAATACAAGATATAAGATTTTTTTTAGAGAGTTATCCAAAATGTAAAAAAAGATGATCAACAACTTATATGATTGAGCTATTTATGCAAATTTGATATTTGCAGTATTAACTCTTAGTTAGCCATCTCACCAACAAGGCATGACAATAAGTTGCCAATGCTATTAGTTTGCCACTTCAATTTTTGCATTGATTTGCAATGAAAGGCAAAAGATGGTTTAAAATGAAATCCAAAATATGCAAAGTGAAAATACATCAACAATCAAGGCATTTTTAAGATCATTTTGCTTAATATTTTTTTACATTTATTTTTATTAGAAAAAACAAAATTATTATTAAACACAATAACTTTAAAATATTTCAAGTATTTTTAAAAATAACTATCACTGCAAACTATTATCAGAACCAATCGATCAATACTACTCATTGCGGCCCACAATACAACCAACAATCGACAATGATTACAGTATTCGGGTCAGTTTGGGGCAGCTACGACTTGTTAAAAAGTAATTGTAAAGCTGCTAAAAAATAATCTGATATTAAAAAAGTTTTGGTGACTATTACTTTTTTTTTGTCTGTGAGAAAGTCTAATCGCTCCACTGCACCTAACCAGAACTGGTGGAAAAACACAGATTTTAGTAACACTTGAAAAAAAAAAAAAACTATGAAAACGCAGTTTATCAAAACAAACAAAACTACTTTGCAGTGTCGCACCACCGCCCAAATGGACCCTCCATTCACCGGACATTGCCGCCAAAACCACATAAATAAATAATAATACTAATATAACTTTAAGATACGACCTTTAAAAAAAAAAAAAAAAACTATAAAAACATGGTTTACCCAAACAAACAAAACTACGGTGCAGCATCGCACCGCCGCCGAAATGAACCCTCCATTCCCCTCATCACTCATCGTCGCCACAGCCCACCGGACATTGCCGCCAAAACCACATAAATAAATTATAATAATAATATAACTTTAAGATACAAAAAAAATGTATTACACGTCAAATATAAACAAAAT